GGGCAAGCTGTTAAGGAACCAAGGAGGCTAGCAAGGCTAGGATCCAAAGAGGCAGAAGGGAGACACAGATGGGCAGGAGAGGGGGGCTGGCCCAGGCCTGGAGCTGGGAATTTAGCCAGGTAGCAAGTGATGCCTTAAAGCAGTGGTTCTCAACCATCCTCATGCCGAGACCCTTTAATACAGTTCCTCATGTTGTGGTGACCCCCAACCATATTTTCGTTGCTACTTCTTAACTGTAATTTTGCTAGTTATGACTCAGGCGACTCCTGTGAAAGGGTCGTTCAACCCCCAAAGGGGTCGTGACCCACAGGTTGAGAACCGCTGCCTTAAAGGCTTTAATTCAAAAAGTAATCTGTTTTCCAAGGCTAGGAGAGAAGGGGGATACAACTAGGAGACTCAGGCGAAGCCTGAGGAAGGTCAAGATTCAAGGCAGGCTTGGGGGGATGCGAAGAATGTATGAGGAAGGGGGTGCTGGGCAGCATGGGGGTTCAGTGAGCTATGTCATGCAGGGCATGTGTGGGTGTTGGGAATAGTCTGCCCAGAAGGGAAAGAGTCTCTGAGTCAAAGTGTAGGGGAGAGAGCTGTAGCCGGGCGCTGATCCCCACAGTCCCAGACACACAGAACACACACATTTAGTTGTTGTAGCATTTAGTGGTTGGGGTAAAGTAGTGTGGGCAGGGGTGGTGTGAGAAAGGAAAGGTTACCTGATTCAGACCCTAAACGCACTCCTATGGCCAAGATTTGGGTGGTTTCACGCGGCCTTTGACCTACAGCAATGGCAGCAGCAGCACTGGCACTGTGACACCCCGAGACACCTGCAAGAGCAGAGTCCAGGTCAGGACATAGACAGATGGGGGCCAGAACTAGAGCTGAAGCTGAGTCCCGCCATGGCCACATCTGCCACCCGAGTGGGCGGGCCTCCTGGGATGTGCTGCTTGCTGCCTCCCCAGGATGTGGCGTGTTGCAATGAGCAGGTCCTGCCTTCTTAAAATTCTTCCAGGGAAGCACAACCTCCGATGAAGATGGTGAGCCTGCCTCACTGCTCACCATTCTGCTCACCTTGCCCTGCGGGGACCTCCCGGGCCCACTCCTCTCCCTTTAAGTCCAAGGTAAGGATGGTGGAGGTATGCGGTCTCCACCAGTTGAGAGGCTCATGGAAACACACAGAGCATCTCTGAGTCCTGTGTGTGGCTCCCAGGGGTGGGCTGCTCCCTACTTCCATCCTGCCCCCTATGAACAAGCTCATGCTCTCTCTTCTTTTAAGGCCTAACCATGCTCTAAGCTGCATCCCTGACACCCTCCCTGCAGGGTCTTGGATGTGCCTATGGCTCGTTCCTTCACCTCCAGCCAGTGCTCCACCTAGCTCTCCCACATGACAGGCCCCACCAGGTGTGGGCACAATTTCCTTCCCCTTCCAGCCTAGACCCAATAGACAGTGCTTTCCCTGGTAGCCCAGAATCCCTGATGGCTGCCCACAGTTCTGAGACTGTTACCTGTGCCCACCTTTAAAACCATGCCTCAAGGCCATCTTTCCCAGCAACGAGGTCCACTCTGACTTTGATGGCAGCTTTGAAAATCTTTTAATCTCTACATGGCAGAGAAAAATTGAGCTTGCACAAATGGTGAGGCAGTTCTCCCTCTAACAAGCACTCATATCCATCCTGTAAGCATCTCTGGCAGGAAGGAGGCGGCCAGACTGCCATGCTGTTGTTGTTGTTGGGTACCATTGAGTCGGTTCTGATGTGTGATCCTACTGCTGCAGCCAGTGTCAATCCAACTTGTCGACGGTCTTCCCACAGCCTGCTGGTATTCAGAGATTGAGAGACCTCTCATTTATTTATGGAATGCTCCCTCTGCCAGGCATTTATAATCTTTATCCACTTCCACATTTAAAAAAAGTCATTTTATTGGGGGCTCATACGACTCTTATCACAATCCATACATCCATGTCAAGCACATTTGTACATTCGTTGCCCTCATCGTTCTCAAAACATTTGCTTTCCACTTAAGCCCTTGGTATCAGCTCATGTTTTCCCACTCCCCCATGAACCCTTGACAATTTATAAATTATTATTTTGTCATGTCTTAACACTGTCCGACGTCTCCCTCCCTTCACCCACTTTTCTGTTGTCCATCCCCCACTTCCACATTCTTGTGAGGTAGTTTTCTTCAACATTTGGCTGAGGAAGTCAAGGCTCGGGTTCATACAGGGCCACACCCAGCACAACGGAGTTCACATGGGGTGGGTTAGGGTAGAACCCAGGGTATTTCACGCCAAAGCCTGTGATGTTTCTGACATTGGCCCGTGGGTACTGTGGCACCAAGAACTGTCCAGAGTCAATGGCAGGATGGTGCTTGCCAGGTAGGAACCAGCCATCTTTGTGATCCCTCAGGAGTGTCCTGGTTTGAGTGTCCCCTTCCACACCTGCAGCACAGAGTCCCGGCGGGCCGTATAGGGTAAATGTTTTATGCGGAACCAGTGTCTCGGAATGATGTTTCCACCGGGGGTGTACAACTTCTCTCCCTGACTCCCCAGGAGACTGCGTATCACCAGGTTGCCTGACAGAATCTTCTCGTAGAACTCCACTCCACCCCTAGCATAGGCCGAAGACATGGAGGCGGTGTGGCGGTCCAACCAGGCTTCCAGTGTGTGAGTGAGTGAGTCTGTAAAGAAGGCATAGACCACAAAACCCACCACTGCTGCTACCAAGTTGAAGGCAACCCGTAAACTCACGGGACCTCCATAGAGCCCCATTGCCTGCTTGGCTCCCACTCCGAGTGCCCAGGTTCCTGCCAGACAAGCCGGGGCCAGCACAGTCTCCAGCGCAGCTGCACTGCTCTCCAGGTACCTCACCTCCCTGGCCAAGGCAAACTTCTGAGCATCATGGGACAGGGTCAGGGCATCTCTTAGCCGGGTGCCAGCTGGGCTTTGCCAGTCCACTCTTTGCCCAGATATCACCACCGGCTGGTCAGTGTTGGTCACTGGGTGACCCAAGAAGCTGGCAGGGATGCCCACCACAGCCCCACTGGGGAGTCTCGGGAAGCCAGCACTCACAGGCTGGAAGGTGAAGGAGATGAAAGGTTTGTAGCGATGGCCTGAAGGGACACTCACGTCCTGTAGCACCTCTTGGAAGAGGCTCTGCAGCTCCAGGGAGAGAGGTGCTGGCTGGCCCCGAGGCCAGTACTGGTACAGCCATTGCATCACAGGATCTGGGAAGAGGTGGTACGAGACCTGGGCCCCTACCAGGCCCGCGCAAGAAGACACCAAGAGGCCTGTCCTGTGCCTGCGGGTAAACGCTGCGGCCCGCCAGAAGGGTCCCGCCATGAGTACTGCCACTGCTGACAACCTGGCTGAAAAAGAGAGGTCAGTCAAAAAATGTCCATGTCTACATGAACTTAACATCCTCGGGTGCCCAGCTTCTTTAACTGATGTAGAATGGACCTTAGAGTCAGGTTACCTTGGTTCAAATCCAAGCTCCACTCACACTAGCTCTAAGACCAAGGGAGTCACTCAACCATTCTTGTAGCAATTCCATCAAACAGGTATTTGACCATGGCTTCTAACATTGAATGCCTGGCATGTCAGCAAGTACCTCTTGTAGTAAATGCTGTGCTCTTTCTTTTTGGATCCCAGGTAGCGCAGTGGTTACAAGTTGGTCTGCTAACTGCAAAGTCAGCAGTTTGAAACCCACAGCCACTCTGTGGGAGAAAGAGGCTTTCCATTGCTGTAAAGAGTTAAGTCTTGGAAACCCACAGGGGCAGTTCCACCGTCCTATAGGGTTGCTGAGTCAGCATCGATGAGTCAGTATTGTTGGTTTTTAGTTTTATTTTTATCCTCCCACTAGGCATAGCACTAGAACATAATGATCTCAGTGCATTTATTCTTCCCATACAGGTGATATCTAATTTTTTGGTGAAATATGTAAGGGAAAGTAAAAATGATTGCTATGAAATCATAGAACGCTTTATGAAATAAAAATATCAAAACGTGAAGCTACTCTTTCTAGCATACCCTATATCTAAGACTACATACTTTTGAAGGCCATGCTTGCTCTACCCTTCCCATAGAATTCCGTACTGTTCAGTTTACATCATGCTCACGTGGCACCCTTGAGGGACTCAAACTGTGTCCCTTTTCAATATCCTTTGAGGTTTGAGAATAAAGACAAGTCTGAAGGGGCAAAGTCAGGGCTGTAGGTTGGATGTGGTAATGTGATGAGTTGTACGAGCCCCCAATAAAATGTAAAAAAACAACAAAAAAGACATTAGCGATCAATGCTGTATATGATACATACATAGATATGATATCTATACACATACAAGGAAATCCAGTCAATATAACTATTATTCAAATTTATGCACCAAACAATAAAGCTATTGACGACGCAGAAATTGAAATTTTTTACCAATGTATAAAGGAGCCCTGGTCGTGTAGTGGTTATGCATTTGGCTCTTAACAGCAAGTTTGGGAGTTTGAAATTATAAACCTCTCCATGGGAGAACGATGAGACTTTCAAATCCTGAGAAGAGTTATAGTCTCTGAAACCCAGACAGGCATCTATACCTTATCCTATAGGGTCATTCTGAGTCATAGTCAACTTCATGGCAGTGAAATTTGTTTTGTTTTCAGTTGGAAATTGATAAACGATGCAATTAAGATACATTGATAATTAAAAAACCAAACAAACAAAAAAAGAAAATCTCATTGGATGGACTCTGCTTCTCTTGAAGAACGCGCAAGTGCATGGTGATGGGAAAAAATTTTCCTTCATGAAACTTTCACTGCCTTTTCCCCACCAATGCATTTTTCCAATGTTCTTAAAACTTCATCGGATCAAGCCCGTGATTGTCCTTTGTCTTTTGAGAACTCCTTTCAAGACCCCATTTTGAAAGGTTCATAACAGTAAAACCTCCAGAGCTGACTACTTTGCCTTCAATTTCCCTGGACCAGCAGTCTCTACGAAGTCACCGTTTTGATTGGACCGTGCTCTCAAGAATGTATGGGTAAATCACACTCATCCTTGGTTAAGATTCGTCCATAGAATTGTCTAACATGCACTGTGAATGTGTCCGAAAGGTTAATGGAGAGCCCAGCGCTCTGAGCTGGCTGCGCTTCCCACGCTTCACACTCCTGGAATTGGGCAGGGATGTCTCACTGAAGCAGGAAATGTCAAACCTCACTGAGATCTCCAACTTCAGGAGCTACTGACTTGATGGCAATTCTGAGATCCTTCCCCACCTGTTTGTTTTGTGGGGCAGCATTCCTGTAAGCTCGCTGCAGAGCTTCAATGACAGGGAAGCTGTCCATCCACCGAGCTTTATTTAATAATACACTAGCCCTGATCTCATGGCACAAAAAGTATACCCCCATTTTTTGGAAGGCATGCTAAGAAGACTAAGACAAGTGAATTACTGAGAGAACTTAGAATCAGAATTCGAATCCTAATAGCAATACTTCTGATGTGCATTCACAGGTGATAATTTACATACTTAATATATGCTAGATACAGTTCTCTGCCCTTTACACGCATTACTTAATAACTGAATCCTCCGTAGTAACTCCAGGACGTCATTGTGATTTTTGCCCTTAAAGCTGTGTAAACAAAGGCACTGACAAAGAATTGGCCAAAATCACAATTTAGCAAAGCGGGAGTGTAATTGAATCCAGACGGTCAGGAGTTTACAGCTAATTTCGCATTCTAGAAAGCGCTTTATTAAATCACAAAATATACAAAAGTCGTAAAAGTAGTGCATCACCCAACTCCCTCATGGCTTCGGATCTACTCCAACTCCCGCCCGCTGCCCCCGAACTGGTTTATTTTGAAACACACCCTGAACTTCCCATAATGTCACCTGCAATTATTTACATAAAATTCATAATTACTTTCCTTTGGTGGAACCGTACTTTCTGAGAAAAACACGATTCCCAAAGAAGCTCCTGCTGACAAGAAGGCGGGAGGTATCGGTTGGCTTATTTCAATTGAAAAAAAAAATCCCGCCGAAGAAACAGGCCAGGGAGGGAAGGGACATGGTTGGGCGCCAGCGGAAATTATAGGGTCCTGGTGGGGGGGGCTTCCCGTTCCATTCTCACCTCCTCGCCTCCCTCCGGAGGCTGGGGCCAGGAGCGGGGGCCAGGACCGGACCCGAAGAAAAGACGCGCCGCTGGCGACCTCACTTCCGCCCGCTCCGGTGGCTCTGCAGAGAAACGCGCGTGCGCGGAGCCGGGCGCAAGGCACGCCGGGCCGGGCGAGAGGCGGGGCTTTTGGGGCCGGAGGCGGGGCTCTCGGGGGGCGGGGCTCTCGGGGGTGGAGGCGGGGCTCTCGGGGGGCGGAGGCGGGGCTCTTGGGAGGCGGAGGCGGGGCCGGGTGCAAAGACTGCTCTTGCAGCCCTGCGGGAGGCCGTAGTAACTCCTGCAAGAAATGCGTAGTGTTTGGGGTCCTCGCCCTCGGTCCTCGCCCCTGTGCGACTTAGTGGCATCGTCAGTGGCGGGCTGGCCAACGCTGGTGGTGGCAGCCCCCCTCAGCATTTGAAGAGAGGGCTTGATACCCCGTTTAATCTAAAATGATGACTGCGAGAGTGTCCTTGCCTCCGTTGGCTGCGCTGCCTTGCGCCCCTTGCTCCTAGAAGCACTCTCCTCCACTTCTCTCCGACTGAGGTACTGTTACCTGCTACAATCTAGAGAGCGGTTGTATTGGAAACAACTGTGCTTGTCACTTTACATCGTATCCTCAGCTGCTTTCCTGCTACAAGGACACAGCTCGGAAGATGCAAGAGACGGTGGTGTATGGCCCACACAGTTTTCTATCTGAGCCTTCGCAGAAAAGGTTAGTCAATCCCTGAAGTAGATCATCCCCATCTTACAAGACGGTAGACTTGTCAAGAAACAGACGTGGAGCTGATAGAGAATGCTGGGCACCCGGTACGCATGAGACCGAGAAAGTACCCCATTCTGCACAGTTCCCTGATTCTTCCTGCTTCCATGCAAATTCCCCCTACTGGGTCTTGCCAGTTCTCCAAAGTGGGCCTTGCCTCTGGGTCATGTGTTTCTCCCGGTTCTAAATCCTCTCAGGTGCCCTCACCCTTATCCTGGGTGAGGATAAGGAGACCCAGAAGAGGGGGTGAGTCCTTGGGATTGGACTTTGGAAGGTTAACACCCCCTTGATCTCTGTGTCTCTAGAAAAACTACCGCTGTAGTTTGGCTGGGTGAATTTTTGGGGGTGATGGGAATGTTCTAGAATTAGATCGTGGTGGTGATCGCATACCATTGCGACTATATTAAAAACACTGTCAATGGTTAAAATGATGAATTTTATCTCAATTAAAAATACATATATAAAGTGGGTGTTCCGAATTTAAGCTCTGAGACTGTTCCTTCCTTCCGTTTTGTATTTCACTCTTTACAATCCTTGGAGCACACAGGCTGGTGTGCTTCTTCCACGTGGATTTAGTTGGCCTCATTTAGATGGCTGCTTGTTTAACGCTAATAGACCCCAGATACTATTCTCTCTGATAGCTGGGCACCATCGAGTTTCTTCTCCACACTTGGCTATGGCACCCATAGCTCCAGTGATCTCATCAGGAGGGTGAGTTTTGAGTACAGCCAGATCTTAAGAACTAATTGTACTTTGATTAGGGCTACAATTAAGTGGGATCCCCAAATCCATTTGTATATCTCTGGTTTATATTGTCTCTGCTTTGCTTTAGAGACATCATTATTACTTTATATTAGAGAACATTATAAATTATCCCCATGGGATATAAGGTAATTCTATTGATAGTATCATTAATTTAGCCAAAGGTATATCCTTCTGGTGTGGCCTATGAAGGATGCTGTGTGCCTTGAAAGGACAGAGTCTAAAGTCCCAGTTGTCTATCACATGTGGCCTGGCTATGAATGACAATAAAAGCCCAAGATGTATTTGCAGGGTCCCCACCTGGATTCATCCTCTGGGTGAATTCCCTCTGACCATAATCCAGGGATGCGAATAGCCTTACTGTCAGACGCAGAGCATTGGGACGTTGATTATGGTAGACATAGTTAGGTTACAATTCAATGTAAAATCTTATCCTTTGGTCTCCTATGTGACCTACTTTTATGTTATTTCAGTTTTTAATATTTTCTGATTTCTTTCCAATTGAGATATTTCTGTTTTCTTTCTTGTTTTTGTATTTTATACTTTTCTGTAGATGAAATTCAGGATAAGTAAATCTACAGAGATAGAAACTGGATTCATTACCTAGGGACGTGACAACACACAAGCCACCACAGCAGGGCAAACTGACGTGAACTGTCATGTGAAAGTTGGACATTAAATGTGAAAGACTGAAGAAGAATTCATGCTTTTGATTATGGTGCTGGTGAAGAACATTGGAAGTACCACAACGGCCAAAAAACACAAAAACACAATAAAAAACCCAGAATCTGTCTCAGAAAAATTACAGCCAGAATGCTGCTTCTGGGCAAGGATGGTGAGACTTTGTCTCCTACTTTGTACATGCTATCAGACGAGCCCCGTCCCTGGAAAAGGACACCACACTTGCTAAAGTAGAGGGGAGACAAGAAAGAGGAAGGCCTTCGACAAGGTGGCACAGCGACTGCAGCAATAGACTTGCACTTAGGACCAGTGTTTCATTCTGTTGTACGCAGGGTGGCTGTGGGTCGTACCTGTCCCAGTGGCCCCTAACAACCACCACCACCACCACAACAGCAGGGGCAAGGAAGGGAACATTAAGGGTCAGTGGGGAGCTAACAAGCATGAGAAAGAAGACACTGGTCTAATATGAAGTGTGGTGATGATTGCACAATTCTTTTAATATGATGTGTGAATGATACTAGAAGGTTACCCCACCCCCCCAAAAAAAAACCACAGAAAAAGCTCCGCTGGGTGGACCTTCCGTAGTACACATTTTTCCCACTAGGTGAGCATTGAGCAACTCACTCTGAGTTAGTGTACTCAGTGGCGTCACCTGGGAAGATTCTGGTCACAGTGAATTTTTCTTTTATTAAAATTAAAAAAAATCATTTTATTAGTGGCTCATACAACTCTTATCACAATCCATACATACATCAATTGTGTAAAGCACATCTGTACATTCAGTGCCCATCTGTCACCTTATCAAATGGACAAAAATGTTGACTCTGCATTTGGAGTTTATCCCACCTGGTCAGACTGTTAAACAAACTTTCTATTTCGAGGTTCTGAAAAGATAGCATATAATATACGACCAAAAAGACCTGATTTAGAGCCAAACTGACCCCCTCCCTAGAAGTATGTGCTATGGAGGGCAATATTAAACCTACAGGTTAGGGAGAGGGGCCAGCATGCTACTTCCATACGGAAGCAAACCAAGAAGGAAAAAGAGTGAGGGTCTAGACCTCACATTGGCACACCAAGGCCCAAGGATGATGTCCTGCATGGAACTGTAAGACAAAGAGGGGACTATAGGAACAACAATAGCTGGAGACACGATGTCCCCTTGCTGGCACATACCGGGACAGAGGACAATACTGGGGACCCAGGTGGGAAGTTAGTCCGGTCTGAAAACCACCACTTCTACCCCAACACACACAGTGGGGCGAACCAAGAATGGAACATAATAGATCAGCAAAGGTAGCAAAGCCAAGCCACAAAGCCCTGAGAAGCCCCCAAAATAGTCTTCAGGCTACTAAGGGCAGCTCCCAGAACCCCCCAGGACCAGTGGGAAGATAGTCATAAAGGTCAGCTGACAACTGGAATTATTGGGCTAGTTATTATCTTTCTATTTTTTGGTCAATCTTTTTTTTGTTATTGTTGGTTTGCCTATCTATATATGATAGGCATGGGAAACACGACCGAGGAGAAATCAAGGGGACTGAAGGTTTTGGAGGGACTTAGGGGCAGAAGGAGGCGCGGGAAGTGAGCAGTGAGCAAACAATGCCATAGACAGGGGAACAACTAGGGAATTAAAATCAACAATGAGAAGGACGTAGAGATCCTGAGGGTGTTGGAGCAACAGCAGTCTAGCTGAGAGGAATTACTAAGAGGCAGAAGAAGGGCAAGCATGATGGTGGGGCAGGAGGAAGGTAAAAAGAAACAGAGAAAAGATCTAGAAAGTAAAGCTATGGATAGAGGTATAAACATAGATGTGTAAATATATTAATTAATAAAATTAGAGATATTGGCATATGTACATATTTATATGGCAATACACAGAGGTATTGGATGGACTTTGGGCCTCTCCTCAAACCTTCCCTCAATGCAAGAACACTTTGTTCTAACAACCTGGCATTCTGTGATGCTCACCCTCCCTGCACAATTGCTGAAGACAAAAGGGGTACACAAGCAAATGTGGTGAAGAAAGCTGATGGTGCCCGATATAGCATCCATGGTCTTAAAGGCCTGAAGTTTAATAAGCGGCCATCTAGCCGAGAAGCAACAAGCCCACATGAAAGAAGCACACCAGCCATACCATACCATATGTAATCATGAGGTATTGATGGGATTGGAAACAGGCATCAGAAGACCTAAAACAAACAAACACACAAACAAACAAAAAACTTATTGTTGAGAATGAGGGGAGACCCCAAACCCATCTGTAGACAATGGGACATCTCCTCACAGAAGGGTCACCAGGAAGGGATGAGTCAATCAGGGTACAGTATAGCTCTGATGAAACACAATATTCCTCTGGTTCCTTGAGGCTTCCTCACCTCCCACTATCATGACCCCAGTCCTGCCTTTCACTGCAGACTAGACCGGAGCATGTACACAGGTACAGATAAGAGCTTACAGCACATAGAATGCAGGTCAGATAAACCCCACAGGAACAGAAATGGGAGTAGCAATATCAGGAGGGTACAGGGGAAGGTGGGGAGAGGAGGGGAGGAAAGGGGAACAAATTGCAACGATCGACACATTACACACACACACACACACACACACACACAGGGGACAAACAACAGAAACTGTGGGGGAAGGGAGACAGCAGTCAGTGCAAGATATAATAATAATTTATAATTTATCAAGGGGTCATGAGGTGGGGAGGGGGGAGGGGGAGGAAAGAGGAGCTGATACTAAGGGTTCAGATAGAAAGTAAATGTTTAGCAAATAATGTTGGCAACATATGTACAAATATGCTTGATATAATTGATGTATGGATTGTTATAACAGTTGTAGGAGCCTCCAATG